GGATCCCTTGAAAATGCGGTTTTCCCCCATATGGCCCACAGTGATGGCTATATCTTTCCCAATTCTAATCCGATTCTCAAGCGGAGTACCTTAAACGATTTCTGAATCGATTCTCCACCATTCTGCATCAAAATCCTGAGACAAAATATTTTTTAGATTTTTTGTCCATTTTTCGTGAGGGGATCCCTTGAAAATGCAGTTTTCCCCCATATGGCCCACAGTGATGGCTATATTTTTCGCAATTCTTATCCGATTCTCAAGCGGAGTACCTTAAACGATTTCTGAATCGATTCTTCACCATTCTGCATCAAAATCCTGAAACAAAATATTTTTTCGATTGTTTGTGCATTTTTCGTGATAGAATCCCTTGAAAATGGGGTTTTCCCCTATAGGGTCCACATTTGATCAAAACTATAATACCTTCTGCAAGGGTATAAAAACCTTATAGACAACAAGTTTAAAAGCCAATAAAACTGCACTAAAAAACCCGACAAGTTTAAACAATTTTTATAAAAAACATGCATTTGGAATTCGGAAGTAAAGCCGCATAACAAAGAAATAAATTTTAATTGCCTTCTAAATTGAGTTCCATTTGCTTATCAAAAGATGATTTGAATAAATTTTAGAGGTCAAGATCAGTGGATCGAATTTCTGAGATCGAGACAGAAATAACCAAAGAAGACTAGAGGGTATTGAAGTTGCATTTCAAATCGATTATTATGAATAAATAATTAAATAATGTGTTTTTGTTTAGACTTAATTTAGGGCACTTTTTCCTCTGAAAGACATACAAAGACAGGGCTCTCATTCAATGCCAATTGTTGTGAGGTAAAAGTAACAATAGAAAACACGACGCATTTGCCAAAAATCGACACACAACAATGGCTGGGGGCCCAGCAGTCTTAACCCACTTTTCCTCAGCCGCAATGTCTAAGCTTCACAGACACGAAAAACTATGACTAAGTATATTTTCTCCACCCCAAAAATCATCTCTCGGATCATCATCATCATCAGCATTATCACACAAGCAGGCATCATATCTTTCAAAAAGCTCACGACAAAAGTGTCAAATCCGACAGACAGACAACAAGCTGAATTATGTTGTGTTGCTGCCTGACTACGCCCACAAGGTGACCGCCTTTTTTTTTATCACTGGCGGCAACTCTACCTGGTGAAAATTCCAAAAAGAAATACGTATAAGAGGCATACACATTTTGGCAAGACAGCGCAACATTTATTTTTGTTTTCAGAAATATATTTCTGTTTCTGTGGCTTTGCTATTTTGCTGTCTCATTTCGATTTTTCACACTTTAGTCGATGACAGATAGTGTTGATATATTTACTAAAGGGGTTTTTGTTCTTGCAGATACAATAAGGGTCTTTGAGATGGCTTTCGTGGATGTCAAATGGTTTCAACTCAAATCCGTTCAAGAATGAGTAATGACAAAAGAGATTGATCTTTGCTTTGAAGATTACTATTCATGATATTATTTCTTAGATTCTTATATCTAAGTGGCTGGAATTGATGGATAACTATTCTTTACCATTATGGTAAAATTCTGATGCAATGGCCCAGTAGCTTCTCATTCTTTACGGACTTTTTTCCAGATAATCCGCTTTGACATTGTCAACTTAAATGCAGCCAAGGTCAGGTCAGTGTGAAGCGAGAGCTGACAGGGGGCAGTGGGTTTTAAGGGATTTTGGGGGTCTGGTAGTAGAGCTTCTGGTAGCTGGTTGGTTGCGTTTGCCGTTTGACTGACAGTTTCAATTTGCACTAACTTCGAGTCAAGTAAGGGGTGTAGCTCCTCTCCGGCCCTGGCCCTCCTTTCATTCCATAAAGGTGACGCCTTTCTTTGGGTATTAAGGTCAAAAAGCGTTAAGCCAAAACAACAACAGAAACACAACACCCAGCCGGCCAGGTAGCTGAAAGAGGAGACGATGGAGCTGAACAAAAAGTTCAACAGATTTGCTGCAACAACCGCAAAAAGCACAAAGGCATGAACAAGATCCAACAAAAAAATAAAAAAAAAAAAAATTAAAAAAGGAGGACGGGAGCGGTAGCAGGACAGACAAGGACCAGGGATATAGGAGCTATAGAATCAGGTCAGGCCAACTCGGAACAAAAATGTGCAATGCTGCAGAGGCCAAGAGGAAATAATTGGCCAAAAAATCAGAAAAAATACAGATTCAGGGTAGAGCAAAATAAAAACAAGCCAGATTTCGCCTTATGCACTTTTGGCTTAAATGAAAAGAAAGCTTAAGAACGAAGAACGAAGGTATGGGTATGGGGGTTCGTTCGTTCGAAAGGAAACTGAGAAAATGCAAAAACCAAATGGCCAAAACCAAAGCCAAAAGCCAATACCAAAACCAAAGCCAAAATGTGAAAGAAGTTGATTCTTTGCTGTCTTTGGTTCACCGTTACGTTGACCGCTTTACTTAACGGTACACCGTGGAAGAACACCCCTCCTCCTCCGCGAAGAACATGGAGGGGTATATCTAAGAGCCGGAGGTTCTGGAGAACCGGTTTCATTTTGTTTGACGGCCGCGGTCGGTCTTCGTCGTTTCTTCCCCAGCATTGACACTCATTTTTGAAGGCAATAAGCAGAGAAGAAGAATCTTCCAACCGGTTCTACCAACTCACCCACCCACCACCCTTCCTCCCATCTGTCTTTCTTCGTGCTGCGAATTCTTAATTCTTCTGGTCGGTAGCTCGAGTCCCACAAGCTTTCCACACAAAATGAATGACACTGGGGCGAGTGATTGCGATCTTCTTGAATGTTTAATTGCGAAATTAGACCAACTGGTTCATCTAAGATCTTAAGTAGAGAGATCCGGAGTTTCTATTTTGAAAACCAAAAACCTTAGTCTATAAAGTTTCCATTGTTTTGATTGATCTTACGCCCATCTCGTCACCATTATTATTATAAACTAATTCGATTAATATGTGAAATCATCATTAGAAGCGATTATCGGTTATTATGACGGTTCAACGGTTTCCAAAGTGAATGATGATCCATTATTTTTATGTAGATTGCATTCAGGCTTTCAAGCGTTCTAAGCACATTTACATAATCGTGTTGTCGGTCAACCGGAAATTGGCCAACCCACGAGCCACAATACTACTTGGCCGCTTCCGTTTGATTACCGTTGCTTATTAATTCTTTTCTGCTTTTGATTTTTGGTTAGATGGTTGACCAATGGAATAACAACAAATATATACCATATATATATATATATATGGTATTGCCTATAAAGTCAGTTTCGTTTTATATTTCGCGGTCTAGCCAACAAAAAAAAATATACCCACAACTCTAATGAAATTAACAGAAAAACACGAAAATGATTATAATTAAAAAATTAAAAAAATGTCTTGTGAAATATGTGAGCCAAGCTTTGCCAAACGAGGGTTGCTTCATCAGTTAGACAATTGCAGACCCACTGATATTTCAAAACCTTAAAATATGTTTCAATAAGATATGGCGTAGTACAATAAAAACCTCATTGATGGCACGTTTCTTGTTTTAGTTTTGGTTTGTTTACGATCTTGACATTCTCCATTCAGGTCTAACTTGCTATAGATTAAGATTTCTTTTATCGCTTCTGAGCCAGGTTAAGAGATGACTCTTCCCCGATCCGACTGGACTGGTCTAGTTCATTAATAAGTTGAATTGTCAGATCGAATGACAGGTTTGTGTCTATTTTATGACTTTGACTGACTTTATAACAAAGCAAGTTATATAATAAAATAATTAGGCAATGCCTGCAAAGATCTATTTGTCTAAAAATATTATTTCTCCAATCGACCCGATCATACTTCAAATTCTTTCACAAATCAAAATCAAATCAAAAGCCGTCTGGCTCGTTTTCAAAGTCAAAAAAATAAATTAGCAACTTGTTTTATCAATAATATATGGCCTGTGTTAGGTTTTTTATTTAATTTGTTTTCGTTTTGCTTTTGGAACGACGACAACAATCCTTCAAAAAGCCGGCTGGCATCTTCTGTGCTAAAATCTGATTCGAATGCTACATTTGTTATGCAAATGATTGACTTGATTTGAGGCCTATTTCTATGCGATGATTGAATTTGGGTTTCAATCTCAAAGATTTTATCCATGTTTTAATGCTAAACCTAAAACAAAATCAGCTGATTTGGTACAAGTTTATATTTAGTCAAGTGCCGGCTGACTAAGTGGATGTTTCTTAATCAAATAAATTTAACATTTTAATAGGTTTATGCGCTATGTGTATAAAAATAGGTGTGGTGCCAAAATAAACTCAAAATATATCCCAGTGCCGAAGCCATGGCTACTGTGTTATGGTATTTATGTTTGCCATAAAAGAAAACATAGCTCCAGGGTATTCATAATATCGCAACAATGCTGAAATTTTAATGTCGCCGGCAGAGTGTTGATGACTAACCTCCTGCCACCTAATAAATACCTCAATATATCTCGGATATATTAATTGTCTGTATACCGACACTCGCAATCATCTCTCTCATGTCCTTGGAAAAAAGTATATATCTTTGGTCGAGCCAAATTTATGGCACTCGCCTTCTTGGCAGCAGCATCCGTAAGATATATTTTAGTTCACCTGGTTTCAGTTTCTGAGGATTCTGGTCTCTGTTCTGTTTATGGTCTGCCATTAATTGCCCAAACAAAATTCCGTTAGCCGGCATTTGCCAGTTGCTTAGCTTCAAGTTCAGTAAATACAATTTAATTGCTAATATTCTCGCCCCACCCGCCTATCGCCCAACGCCCCAGCAATGACGCACTTTGCCGGAAGATTTTGTTTAGCACAAAATACAGCTCCTCACAGATTATATAACATGATTAGCAATTGTTAATAAATAAGCCAATTTGAAAGGTTATTGTTTCAATGGGCCAAGAGGAAAAGTCACGAAGTGAAGGATTTTTGTGTATATATACATCACCACCAAAAGTTAGGGGGATTCAGGGAGTAGATAGCCCGGTAGTCGGCCCTCCAAACAAGTTACGTACATTGTCACCTACCTGCAAGTAGAAAGAAAGATAAATTCGAGGTGAGTAATGGTTGTGGAAATTGCAATTTCAGATATGTTAAAAAATAAATTCAGCTGAGGATAGTTTCGATTTAAACCTTGACCTGATATATAAAGCTACTTTTTTCGATTTTTTACTCTATGAACTATGAAACTTAATCCTTTGAATATTTAAGAGGGAATATCCTTAAAAGCCAACTTAAAATTTCCATTCATGTCAAAACAAAAGGAACCTGGCACTTTGTTTGGCTTTTCGAGAATAGTGAGAAAAGCTGCAGTCTGCCAACCAGGCCAAGATACTCCTCACAACCTTTACCTTTTACTGGCTGTGACAGCCAGCCAGCCAGCTTTCCGGGCCAGGCTAGTGGGTTTGTCAACTTCAATTTGGTCGCTTCTCATAAATATTGACGGGAAAATTGTCGCTTGCGTTTTTGGCAAAAGGGAAGAAGCGGCAGGGTTATTAAAAAATTCATGGCTTGTAAAATGCTGAAAATCCGGCCAATGGAAAATTTAAAATGCCTATAAAGGGAAAAAGGGCGGGGCGGTGGAGAGCTGGAGAGCTGCAGAGCTGGGGGAGTGGTGGGCTGGAGAGAGACGAGATGAAAATTGGCCGGCAAAGCGGCTTATAGAACGGAGGAACAGAAACCAATGCCGCTTGCCCTGTGGCCTTTTCCGACCGCAATGTTGGCGGAGGGGTGTGGAGGTGGAAAATCCTGCGGAGAAGAGGAAGAGCCAGCCTGGTGCGGTTTGTTGGTTGTGGAGAAAACATCGCTGCTGCGTTTGACGTCCACTCGCAAAATATCATTTACATATCCGCGGAGGAGTTTTTCCCGCCCTTAGCTCAGCGGGAAATACATGAAAAGCTTTTAAATTTTTGATAGCCCCACCCATACTTTTCATCTTCCCGAAAAAACAAGGCCAGAACCTACGTGAGTTTTTCCATAGCACCCTGGATATCCTTTGATTTTCGACATCAGTTGTTTGTTAATTTTTTTTTGTTGCTGATTTTATTTTTTTGTAAATGAAATTTCATTTCCATGTTTGGGGCGCGGGATCATATTAATATTTTATTTTTTTAAGCCTTTCGGCTTTACAATTTGACCAAAAGTTAAACGAGCCCTGTTACCCCGACACTCTTCCATTCAGTATTATGTTTTGTTAAGTAACTCGTTTGAAAACTGCAGCATTTTGGACTCAATATCCTTTAGCCGCCCACTCCCTTGTCCCTTTGGTTCACCCTTAATTTGGCATAATTTTTTGTTTATTTACGTTGGCCCCCTGGGCTAGAAAGATATTCTGTTATGGCCAGAAAGCAACAAAAGTTCAGACCAAAAAATGTTTGTGCAGGCACATCTGTGCACTTTTTGCCTTTGGTTTGCTTTGCTCTTCGGATCTCTGCTCGGGATTGTTTTTTGTTTATGTTTTAATTACGTTTCGTGGTTGATTTATGCCCATAAACCGCAGTGGGTGGAGAAATGTGGGTGGCGGCTAGAGGAAACGAGGGGGCGTTGCAATAGAGTGGTCGCAGTTGGTGCGGCCTTGAAAGGAAATTGGGTTATGAGGCGGATTAAGCAACTAATTATAATTGATGTGGCTTATTTAATGTCTCTAGATTTATTTAGTTGCTGGCTTTTAAAGGTTTTAAAGCAAAGCACACCCCAGACTACTTGTTCCTTTGTCCTCGATTATTCCCCCTAGTCCTGCACTGCGCTTTCCATTCTTCCACTGCTATCTGGAGATGATAAATGACCACCCGAGCTATCCATCTAACAAACGAAGCATGGCTACATGCATCCAAGTCTAATATCTGTGTATCTATCTGGGCTATCTTTTGTGTATTGTATATTGCCGTTCGGTTTGAATATTTCCGCCATAAGTATATGTATGTAGCCATCCACCATACGACCATCGAACGCTCCTCTGCTGTTGCCTGCAACTTGTCAGTTTGTGCACAAAGACCATCAATTTATTTAGTTTTATTATCTGCACACGCAGTGCGGAGAGTTCATAGATGGGTCATGGGTTTGGGTTTGGGTTTGGGTTTGGGTTTGCGGGGGCCTTTGTCCAAAGGGAAGTTCTTTCTATATTGGCTCAGAGGTTCTTTCCGTTTTCTATTTATTTTCATTTTTTGCTAGCCATTTTTTCTAGCTCTCACCCTTTCACCCTTTTGTTTACGCTTTGCACGCAATGCATAACACAGAATACCAAACACACTTACTACCAACAAACACACGCAGCCCAGCACAACAACAACAAAATGGAAATTGTTTGTTGTTGGTTGCAAGTGTCGTAGAACGAGAAAAAAAAAAAAGAATACAATGGAGTGAAAAAAAGGAATATCTTGACACTTTATCGTTAGCCAAAAACTAGCGCAGCGTAAACAAAAGACAAGCGATGGGCAAAGGGCGTTGGGCGTTGGGCAGTGGGAGTTGGGTGGTGGCAAGTGGGCGGAGGCAGGCACTACATGACACGGCGGCAGGCGGCAGGCTTTGGGAGGAGTGGAAGGCATCGTAAGGTTTTGGCATTTTCGCGCTTGGCGTTAAATTCCCCTGACAGCTATAAAATTGCATTTTAGAGCAGCACAGCGCACAAGTCAAAGCGAAGGAAGGAAAAAGGCACGCAGCAGATACAATGTATCTATGTATCTAATAAATAGTTATTGCCGAAATGCAACAACAGCAACAAGAGCCACAACAAAATTGATATTCCCTCGAGTTGCCACGAGAGGAGAGGAAGCAAAAGTGCGACATCATTATATAAATTGTGCGGTGGCCAAAGTGAGCATCATATGTTTTCTATCTGTATCTATCAGATACACTCGGAATGCAGGCACGCAGGCCAGCATGGTTGGGGATGGTTTGGCTTTCCTTCTTCTTTCAAGTTTGAAGTGATTTCACACACATGTTTTTCCCCCAAAGCAACTTTTCCCCCAATCACTACCCACCCACTACCCCTCGACAACATGACCACAAAATGTTCTACAGCTGTGCTTAGGGAGGGAACTAAAGAAAAAATATAAGGAATAACTGAAGAGTGCGGGGGAGTTATTTGTCATTGATAAAGAAAGATGGGTATTGATGGAAGTCGGAGAGGACTAGAAACAAACAGAAACTCATGCACGTGACAAGGAATTCATATTTAAACGAAAAGTAAACTGAATATTTTTAAGAAATTAAAATATAACTTTTTTAAGAAGTTACTTAAAAAGAGGAGCCATAATCCCCCTCCAATATTTATTAAATGTCTCCCCACTTTAAAAAATATTCCTATAAACCCCATGCCACACCCACAAATATTGTTTCGATTGCAATCTTTGAGTAAGTGAATTTTTATGAGACATCATCAAGTTCTACGTTTTGTCACACATGACATTAGAGAGAGGGTCGAGTTATGGGAAGATGTCGGGTTATTTTTTCCCCAAAAGGCTCACGGCCCAAGGCCTGCCTGCAGCCCCGGCGATAACACTTCTTTGACACGTGTCTACGCCACGTGTGTGAGCCATACTTTCCGAAAAGGGTTAGAAACTGAAGCGACTGCCTACGTATTTTATTTCATTTAATTTTTTTGCGGCTGCTCCCAGCTCCCAGTGCTCTGCCACTAATGTTGAGATTACACGCTTGTCAGCGAAGCGTCTCGCCCACAAAATCAGTGAAAAAGGATACTTGGGTGGTGCTGACAGAAGAATCTACTCTGGTGGTTGAATGATAAAATGAGCAATATGTTGGCAATACAAGGACTGAAACGAAGGCACATTTTTTTGGTGTTATTTTTATGTTTATATTTCCATATCCTAAGCCGGCTGTAGCTTCTCATTTTTGAGCCTTTTTATTTCCAGAGCAACTCATTCAACTTTGTTCATTTTCAAAAGTGTTCAAGTGTAACTTAGATGAACTCAACTTTTGGATTACAAATTTTTTCTTTGCCAAAACAAATTGCCAACATTGCCCCACTCCACTCAAAAGTTCATCATCATCTCGCTGCCAGTTTTTTCAGTTCATTTTTATATTCACTTTTGGATCTAAACGATTATGAATGCGAACGAATATATACGTCGACTGGCTGTCGGGGATAACAGGGAGCTGGAGCTAGCTGGGTTGGGTCGGGAGTCGCTTACAAAAGGCTCTCGGCTACTAAACGGCTGATGAAGTAGATTCATACCAGGAGAGGGACGAGGGGCAGGCGCATAATTTGCTTAAATAATTTGTAAGTGCAAAGTTATGAATTGCTTGGATGAGCAGAAGCTTGCAGCAGAGGATTATGTGGCGCTTTTCCTCCTCCCTTCCCAGCCCATTTCAAACTTTTGCCATTTGCCAGGGAAATGCATTTTCCCGCAAATTGTTTCCCTTCCCCTCTGCCACCACTGCTGGAAATGCACAAAAATTTGCTCGCCCGAACATAAAATGTTAATTGTTTGTTTTTCCCGTTTGACAGGCTTCTCTGACTAGGCCCCCTCTGTTTTTTCTGACTAGCTACTACGACAATGAGGAAATAAAGCATAGAATTCAGAAAACGAGAACACAGAACTGAGCACTACAAAGCCAGAAAAGTGGGTTAAATGCTTAATGATCGTATGATCATGCTGGGAATGAGGAGCTCAGTAATTGGAAATGGAAAATTGCAACTGCAACAGCCCCAGCAGCAGCAGCAGCATCTGCAGCAGCAGTGGCACGTAGAACTCTGCTTTTCTCTGCAATTATTTTCAGTTAGTTTCCTCTTGGGTTTCCACAATAAATAATTGTAATGCCTACCTGCCTACCTTCTTACTGGGTGAAAGTTTTCACACAAAGCGAGGGTTTTCTTTTCGAGTTAAATGCAATAAAATTAGATTTTCATTACGAATGCTCAGCAGTGAGTAAATCCGGGGACACAACTTCCATTTCTTCAAGCATATATGTACGTATTTTTTTTTTCAAACCATTTATGAGTTATGGCAATTTCTCTGAGGTCTTTCGGTCTCTCGGTGGCTATGTGACGTGTGACACAGTTCGTCTG